TTTTTTTATATTTTTTTAAAAAAATATTAAAATTAATAATTGTTTAGTTTCCTTTTTTAGACAGGTCAGGTCAGGTCAGGTCAGATCGGGTCAGGTCAAATGTATATTTAATTCAGGTCAATTTTATGTCTAACCCGACCTGACCTTATCAGGTCGGGTCAAGTCAATTACCTGACCCGATCCGACCTGTTCGGAGCTTTACTTAAAAGTGAATTTATATTAAAATTATCATAGATTCTTTTAAGATTTGTAATATTAAAAGAAGATTTAGAAAGTAATTTAGAAATTATTAATATTAGTAATAATAATTTGTAAATGATGATAATTTAAAAGTTAGTGATAATTAAAAAAATGAATAAAATTGTATTGTAATAAACTAAAAAGTTATCTTATAGATCATATGATTTTACCTTGTCACAAAATCCATCCAATCAGCTAAAATTGGCAGATTCTCAAAATCTACCCAATCAACCAAAACTGGCAGATTGTGAAAAATGCAAGATCTGCCAGATCTGTCAGATTGACTAAATCTGCTATATATGTAATATATGTTAGGTATATGATGAAAGACCAATTATTACATTTCTTATTTTTATTTATATTTTTATTATCATTATTTTATTTCTTATAAATAGGATAGCTTTAGAATTTCAATAACATAGGACTTAGGAGAGGAACTTTAAGTAGAAAATTACTTTTAGTACTATTGCTAACAAGAAAAATATTAAACATATTTGTATGTTAACAAATACACTTGTAATAATTATTCTATTTAATAAGACTCTATCATTTACCTGTAATCACATTTGTCTCTAAAATACTTTTGAATTGTAAACCTTCAGAAGCTCTCCATAAATTATATTATAAAGCCTTAAAGCTAAATCCTTTGTTAATCTTGCGTCAATACTAATTTTCAGTCTTTAGTATCATAAGATAACAGTATTTCTCTTTTATTAAACTATTAATATTATTTTTAAATAAAAAAATTTATTTTTTAGTTTTTTATGAAAGGGTGCTTATTTTTAGTATATATATAATTTTAAAGGTATACAGTAAATAGGATTTTAAACTATATAAAAATAGAAAATATTTATTATTTATATAAGTAAATAATAAAATAATAAATCAATTAGAATTTTATATAATTTTAATTAAAAAAATAAATGAGATTAGCCAGAAATAATAACGATAATAAGTTTTTATAATTATTTAAAAATTTAGATTATATAAAATTTTTGAAATAAAATTTTTTGATTTGTATTTGAAAAATTAATAAAATCTTAAATGATCATTAAAGTAGATCAATATATTATTAATTAATTAATAATTGGATAATCATTTACAAAAAAAAATTTGGTACGAGACCAGTGACGCATTGTGAAAACTTCTACTTCTTATAGCGAGCATGTGTTATTTTACAAAAATACATCCTAACGAATAAACTATTTTGTTAAGCGTGACAAGCGTGACATGTTTGCTTAAATATAATAATAATACAGGGAGAAATATTAGAAATAAAGAAAAATAATTTTTTTCTAATTTTATATTTAATCTAAAAATCTATTTTCTCTTGCCAATTTATCATAGATACATAGGAACGTTTTATATCTTCTTTATTATAAAGTAAAAAAAAAATATTATCTTGATTATTATCCAAAACCTATCATTTTTAAGACATAATCAGAAATACTTATTTGGCATATTTAATTTTTCTTTCGCAGAGTTTTTATCTATCTATCAAGATCTATCCAATACAGATGATCACCTTTTAAAATTCCATAAAAAAAATTTTTTTTTATAATTTAAACAAACAAGGTATATCAGTTATGATTTAATTGCGCTTTAATATGTTGAACTTTATCCAATCATAGATATTCTGAAAAAAAATTAAAAAAATTTTAAGAGACAATAATAAATCAATATTTTTTTAAGCAAATCTAAATAAAATAATTTGTTCTGCATTATTTTTACAAGACTTGTGAGACCTTCCCCTATTGTTTTCCGAAACGGTTCATCCCATATTAGAAAAAAAATTTCTTTTTTTAACTGTATAAATAAAATGAATCTAAACCTTAAAAGTTAAGCCACCATTTTAATTATTCCTGTGACTTAAATATACTTTTAACTAAAATTGAGAAAATAAATACTCAAATCCTAATGATGTAATGTCAAATGTTTGTTTTGTTATTAACGAATGGTAATACAAAAATAAGCAGAACATGATTGCGTATAATGCTTAAGATTACTGATGCGAGCTCCAGATTTTACATTTAGCACGTTTCATTCTCAAGGATTTATAAAAATCATGCCATTTTACTTTTTTTTTTATTTGTTTATTAATTTCAATCCATATAAAAGTATTGACCAAGGCGTAATCTTTCGATTTTTCTAAACAATGCATGGTGATTATTTTTTCACACGTTCGAAGAGGTTTTTTTTGGATTACTTTGACTATTTTATGGCTTTAAATACAATCAAAATAATGTGAATTTAAAGTTTATATCGTTTATATCTTCAAATTTGTCCATTATGCAGCTCACATACTATGAACACATTATAGGTTAGGTTATGAACATCTAGAACTAAGGTAAAGAACGAGAACCGGAATTTATATGAAGCTTGCACACAATGCGCCTCATGATTAATATTGTATTGCGTAGTGTACGCCTTATTTCCTTTGTGGGAAGTTTTTTTTTTATTGTACTTTTTTTTTAGTTGAATAAATGGGGATTATTTGTTTGTCAAATAAAATAAAATAATCCTCCCTTTGTAATTTAGGAAAAAAAATTTTTTTCCCTTGGTTCTCAGTCCTTGTTTAATTAAAAGATAAGGGAAAAAGAAAAAGAAAAAGAAAAAGAAAGAGAGAAAAAAAAAAAATTATATATATATATATATATATTATAAAAAGAGTTATGGTGAATTTGGACGAATTATTAGTAGGAAAAGATCCAGAAAGAACTTGTACTTATTCGTCGGTGATAACTGCAGAAACAGCTTTAACAGTTGCTCCCATCTACAAATTGAACGATGATTGTTTAGGAAAAGTCTTGGAGAACTTTATAAACGAATCCACAACATTATATCAATGTATTTTAGTCAATAGGTCATGGTGTAAAGCTGCAATTCCCCTTCTCTGGAGTAATCCTTTTGAATATTTAAAAATTCAAAAATACGATCATGGGTGGCGACTTATAAGGACATATTTAAACTGCCTTCCTGATAATGAAAAGCACATTGTTAATAAATGGATCCTTCCATCGGATTTACAAAAAACCTTATTCGATTATCCGGAATTCTTAAAGTGTCTTGATACTTTTGGATTCCAAGAGGCCATGACACAATGGAAAAGGTATCATTGGAAGACAATTTGGGAAAGACTTGGGCATTTTGATTTGGATAAGGCGATTGGAGATATTTTGTTTCGAAGGTGCAATGGATTAGATAGCCTTTATATTATCTTCTTTGCTTATACACAAAATATAGCGTACTTTGAAGAACCTTCGAATGCTTTAACAAGACTCCAAACTTGCAAAATCATTCATGATTTACAAGGAAGATACTATAATTACGTTGAAAATCGAGAACAAGTTACCCTTGTTGAAAATTTTGACATAATTACAAAATTCGCCCACAATATCAAATATTTAGAGATCATATTACCAGAAAATCGTACGAGAGAGACGGGTTACCAATTGGCAAAATTATTAAAAGTACAACATAACCTTGAAGAATTCGTTGTAAGAGAATTTTGGAATCAAGCTGATACTAATGCTATATTCAGCTCGTTAGCATGTCAAAGTCAATATCTGAGATCACTCTCGTTCATACGTCTCACACATTTTCACGAAAAGTTGGCGGAACTTTTAAATTCTTGTCCAAATTTAGAAATCCTCAGGTTTTTAGAACCTGATGCGCATAATTACTCTAAAATCCCTCCTTTAAATTGTAGGTTAAAAAATTTTTGTGTTTGGGGAAAACCAATGATATCTCAATTCGTTGTGATACCTGATATAAGTTTTAGACTCGATATTATAAGATCAATAATCGAAACAAGTTCTTCAACTTTAAAGAAATTGGCTTTGGGCACCTTCACTGAAGAATTATGCATATCAGTCATCCAATGCATAAATTTAAAATCTTTAATTATTCAAGCAAAGGAGGATATCTCAAAAACTTTACCTCGATACCTTTCAACATCAGGTTTACAACAATTAACGCTCTTTGGTAGACACGAACATTATTTCAATCAAAACACGATATTTGAATTTTCTAAATCTATGCCAAGAAGTTTATATCAACTAGACCTTTTACTAGAAATTCTTCCGAAGGATTTGGAAGTTTTATTTTTAAATTGTGATTCGCCGCTTAAGAAAATCTCGTTGTATCATCAGCAAAACATTTTAGAACAAAATATTCCCGAATTCCTAACCAATTATATTGGTACCCTTGAGCATTTCATTGAATTAAGGTACCTTATTGACAATAAGGTATTGGGTGAAGTTTATTTAGAACCTATCTTGGAGGCTCTAACGGTTATACCAAGAATCAAGATCGTTTTGGGCAAAAGACATTTTTATCCTTATTATTTTCAAGATACTGGTTACTTTTGATAATCGTTCAAACCGGGTAAAATGTTTTCCTTTTTTTTATTAAATTTTTTTTATATTTGTATTTTTTTTATTTTTGTTCCTTTCATTACTTCATATGTTCGTTGTTAATAAAAGAGGTTGGGTGTTAGTTTATTTTTATTTTTTTATTTTCTGTATTTTTATATATATCTCTATATATAATTTTGTTGTATAACCTCACTTGTATTATTTATTCTAATCATTGGATTTTCGAGGGGTCCATCATACCATAGTTAGAGAGGGGTGAAGGGTGAAGGGAGTTTCGAATGGGTAAAAACGATTGGATTGACTTGAACTTTTTACGCTCGGTAAGTGATTTTATGATCAACGTTCGAATAATCTTGGAGCGTATCACTGAAATTTCTCTCTTAATTTCATATTTCCGGTTCCTGGATGCAAGGAAGATAAACGGTATTGTGGAATTTTTTTTTTATGAACGTTACGTGACTTATTACGCCAACCGAATGCTATTTTACCTTTATTTTATTTTTATTTTTCTTTCACTTTTTTTGGTAGGATCTGTCAGAAAGACGAAGAGTTGTATATAGATTAATCTGAAACAATATGTGCAATCGCATGATTTATATTGCTTAAAAGTTGGGTGTTGGTAATGATGGCTGTCGGGAATACCTTTTCTTTCTTCCATAGATATTTAATTTTTGTAATATGTAATCAAAATAGTAAAAAAAATTATCTCTTTGGCAATACATTCATTAATTTTATTGTCTTGTTTAATGTATCGTGTTCATGAAATAATTGTGGATTTTATATAAACATTTTTGGGCGGAATTGGTTCATTTCTTCTTTTATAAAATCCGCTCAATATTGCATTAAAAGAAAAAACGATTTTTAGGACTGTTTTTTTTTTATGATTAGGATTCAAAAAAATTAAAAAAGGTATGGTGCGCATTAGTTTAGTTAAATCATGAACCAATTTGTTTATTATAATATTTAATATTAATGGGTTTTTTTTCCACGCAACTCTAACTATTGCAGTTAGATTGGTAATGATCGGCAACAGTAAACGTTATTTGAAATAGAATCAATGACGACGATATAAATTACAAAAAATATTTGAAATCCACACGAAAATCCCTCACAACCAATAATTCATAAAGAAAAACGTCAATCGTGTTGAAATCGGATTTTTTCCATATAGGATCCTTTTTAATCGTGTATAAATTTCCAAAGAAGGCTTATAATATAACTATCAGAAGTCGTTTCTATAATGATCATAAATTTTTAATTAACCTATTTTTGTAATATGATAAACAACAATGTAATTATCAAACCTATTATGTATATTTTGCCTAGAATGTATGCATTTACGAATATTTTTTTTCTTGTTGAACTAAAACGTAAATCTTAACTAATTGAGGCCGTACATATCTGCATTCTACACCTGTAAATTTTGTCTATTATTATAAATAATTGAAAATCCTATATTAAAAGTACAATTAATTGGCGTTGTATGTACTACCCCCCCAAAAAATCTGCGAATCTGTGAAATCTGCGGATTTTTATTTTATCGAATTCAAAACCTAATTTTTTGGCTGTTGGGCGTTTTGCCGATCGGAACGCCAAAAAGTAAGAATTAAGATTCCCGGAGGTTATTAATTACTATTTATGTATATTTTTTTGGCGGACAAAAAAACTATCAATCATGTTTCAATGGTTGACAGAAATAAAGTCAATTCAAAGCCATTTTATATTAAAGTATTGGAAAAAAAAACTGATTTACACGTTGACCTAATATTGGTGTTAGGTTGGTTAGTGTTAAATTGATGTTAGGTTAAAATTAAATTAATTGGACTTGAATATTACAGAAAAGTCATTATTAAATTAAAAGTGTAGTTATTAATGATTTTATTTAACTTATAAGATTCCTTTAAATAAAAAGCAATTTTTTTTTAAAAAAAAAAACCTTAAGGATTATTATTAATCATTATCTTTTTTAATATAATAATACTAAATCAAATAGTATAATATTTCAAATTTTTAATAATTAATAAATAATAAATTCAAAATTAATAAATTATATTATATAATATAAATGGAAAAGTTACTAGAAAATCAGGTTCTGATAATTTTTTTGATTAAAATTATGTACAATTTTAATGTAATTTAATCTGATATCATTAAACTAAAATATAATAAATCAAAATTTGTATTCTAATAAATAATAATTTAATTAGTAGTTATTAAAAAAAATCTTTTTTATTATTATTATATTAATGATTAAATCTTCATTTATATTTTAAAAAAAAATATATGTATTATTTTTTATTATATTATTATAAATTTAAGTTAATATAATAAAATTATTATTATATGGAAAACGGTTAGTAAAAAAGGAAAAAATCCAAAAATTTTGTTAATTTTAATTATTAAGCTAATTTTATATGTATGACTGATATCAGACAAGTAGTTTAATAATATAAATTTTGAACAAAATTTGGATTTTCCCCTTTTACTGACTGTCTTCCATATTTATATTAATAAATACTCAATTAAATTTGACAATTACTAAAATTTATTTACAAAATGTATTTTCTTAAAAGTATTTATTATACATTATCAAGAGGATTTCTTTTTTATAAATTATTTTATTTACTGAAAATCTTTTTTGCTTTTCTTATAAAATTTAGTATCTATTTTTTTAATTTATTTATTGATAAATTTTTTATGTATAAATTATTTTTAAAAATTATTTTAGAATTATTTTAAATTTATATTTTTTATAATAAATTTTTACTTTAAATTTATTTATATTTCTTTTATTATATTTTTATAAATTTATTAAACAAGTAAGAATAAATGTATTTTTATTTAAATTTAGATTATCTAAAAGTAAAAAGCTTTTTATTTATAATTATTTTTATGATTTTATTGTTTTTAGTTTGTAAAAATAAAGATTAATTAATAAATTCAAGAATTTTACTTAAATTATAAGCAAGAAATTAACTAATAATAATAAAATTAAATACTTAATAATTTTTTTTTTTAAATTTATCTAATCTTATTTCTCAAATATTTTATAATAATTTAATTCCTTATATATATATATTAATTATTATTATTATATTTTTTATTTTATATTATTATAAAATTTTTCTTTTAAATATTTATTATTATTAATTTCTATTTATTTTTATATAAATTTCATTTTAATATTATTTTTAATTTATTTTTTTTAATTTTATTATTTGTTATTTATGATTAATTTTTTAAATTTTTATTATTAAATAATAAATATATCTAATAATTATGATTTTTAGATATTTTTACTATATATTTATATTAGATTTTAATTATTTATAATTTTTTTTTATTAAATTTTTTTAAGTTAAAAATATTTTAATAATTTTATTATTATTTTAAACTATTATTTGATTTATTAATTATTTTTTTTTAATTAATTATTTAATTAGTAAACATTCTGATTTATATTATTTTAGTTTAATTTATTTATTCAATCTTTATATCCTTTTATTTTTATATTATATAATTATTTAGTAAATTATTTATATATATTGATATCACATAATTCTTTTTTGATTTTTTATTATTATTTATATTATTATTATTATATAATTTTTATCACAAATTAAAATATATTAATTAATAAATATATTATTTAATTTAATTTGAAAATTTTGATTTTGCTTCTTAATTAATTTATATTAAAAATATTATTATTAATATATAGAAACGTTTTCAGTAAAATCAGTAAAATTACATTACAAATCATATGATTTACTATGCTTCATGACTTGTTTTACTGGAAACATTCCTATATTATATTTATTTTTATTATAAAATTTTAACTTATTAATTATAATTTTAAATTTATAAATTAATAAAAAAAATGATTTTTTTAATTTTTTTAAAAAATATTATTAAATATAATTTAATATAATTATAAATTTTTTAAAAAAAATAATAATATATAATATACTTTAATAATTATAATTAATGTAATAAAAATCATATTATAAATAACAAGTTATTATAAAAAAAATATTAATATAAGGAGTTTATTTTTAGAATTATTTGTATTAATTTTTTTTTAAAAAAAAAAAAAATAATAAAAATTATATTATTATTAAAAGTTATATAAAAATTTTATTTTTTAAATAAATTAATAATTCTAATAATTTATTTCTAATTTATTAAATTATTTATTTTAAAAAATAAGAATTTTATTCAAATTTAATCATAATTTTTAATAAATTATAAAATAAATTACATAATAATTTTTTATTAAAAAAAGTTTTTTTTTATTAATTATGTAAAAATTTTAACTAATTAAATAAATAATTATTTTCTTTAAAAATTCTATAATTTTATTTTATAAAAGATATAATTTAATAATTTAATATAAAAAATTAGTTTTTTTTAATAGATTTACAAATAATTTTATTTAAAATTTAAAAATTTAATTATTAATTATAAAAAAATTAAAAATTAATTAAAATTTGAAATAGTTATTTATTATTAAACTTTATTAATAAAATTAAGTTTAATTAATTTATAAAATTTTTTATATATTTTTAAATTACAGTCAGACTTTTATATAATCACCTTTTATACAATTACATCTTTTTATAAACATCTGATTTTGAAAAATGGTTATATAAAATTGATTATAATTAATATCACCTATTTTTTCTAAACTTACATATTAATTTTATTATTAATTAAATTTCTTTTATAATCATTATAATTTTGGTTAAGTTATAATTTTAATTAAATTACAAATCATATAATTTATAATTATCATATAAAATTTTATTATTAGAATTAAACAAGATATCTAAAAAGAAACTGCTAACACTAAAAATAAAAATAATCTACAAATAATATAGTTATATATGATATAATTTATAATTTCAACAAAAATTATAATAATTTAAAAATCATACTTATTTTTAATTATACCTTTATACAATCATTAATAATAATTTATTATAATTAATCTA